ACTTCATACTCAAAGTCGAATGGTGCAAACCATTCACACAAAATTGAACACTCCTTTTGCTTTACAACACAAACTCATAGTAAGCAACAAAAATTCCGTTTTGTAACAATAGAAAAACATACATGTATTTGCATTCTTACATCTAGTACCTATGACACATTGATGTTTATCACATCGCGGCTCTTTAATGACACATTGATTAAATAAACAATAAAGATAACAAAATTCTGTGCATTTCCTACTTTTTGTGAATAATGAATACATTTAAGTCCATTCTAAACCTGCATCTGGTATGAACAATTTCTTTCTAACGCCTTAATGTTGAACAATAAGCACATAGGTAAGGTTTCATGTCCACTTTTGATTCTGACTGTATTTATGACGAAGGTTCGAATGATACGTTGTATGATGTGCGAATAGCATTGTCAAACATGCAAAATTCAACCATAATGACTCAAGATCTACTATTAATCAAAATTAAATTGTGGATTTTAAAAACCAAATCACGAGTCCCGTTATTTAGAAAGTAACGCATCAGAATATGCCCAATGAACATTATCCACGTACGCGTTTAATTCTACACACACGTATGTAATCTAATTAACAAAATGATAATGTGCTTGAGCTCATTATATCCACATAATCGATTTTCCATACTAATTTCAATAAATTTCAACCAAAAAATAACGGTTATGTGCAAATCATTGTCACTGCATTTAATGGGAGAGGTGTAAGTGTGGAAATTAGATTCTTCGTGTCACCATGAAATAGTAAAATTTGTTCTTCAAAATCTGAAAATTCAAACAAAATAAACAGAAATTAGATGAGCAAAACTGTATGAACATTTGGGTTTTATACCTTCTTAAAAACTGAGTGTGTAGTTCGTGTATCTCCATAGCCGCGCATGTAAATTCTTTCCTGAGCCAACGCAATCACAATTTGAAGATCCTTCTGCATGTCCAGCGGCAGTCTGTACCATTCCAGCTGATAAACGGCATTACCGATATCATCAAATTGTTGAGTGATCTCACCGCCAAAGTGACAAAACAAAAAGAATGGGAACAAAGATATCAACACTGATACCCCACCTTGCAGAATGCCCACGAAATCTCCAGTTTTAGTCAACTGTAGAGAATATTTAAATTATTTTGCCAGTATTTCTTTGAAAAGTGTATTCATTTACATCGTTTATTTGTAAGCATAAGCTGCCAAAAACTGCAATGGTGAATACTGGACATGCAAACACAATGGCACTGTTTACATCCGAGAAGCGATTTGCGAATCTGAAAAAATGAACACCGTTTCAAATGACAAAATATTTTTTTCAGAATGAAATGTTATACTCAACTCTCTAGCCGCCGAATGAAATTCAATGATTCCATTCAACTTCTCTTTCAGTATGTTCCGTTCCATTGCGATGAACTCCAAGTCTCCTGATGAAAGCAGGATGCGATTGAACTGGCACAGCTTCTTTTTGATATCAGAGGCAAAATTAGCGATCAGCATGCATAGTCCAACGGTAACCAATACGCTTGGCGTATAAAGCTCGACTGTCAGAAGCGATGATATTGATTGAAGGAAAATGCAACCAGCATAACCGAGTGGTGTTTTCCAGTCAAACGGATAACTTATACAGAGATAGATGTGGTCAATTAATATTATCTGGCATTTATTCAGAATTTTAGGTTGAACTATAGGAGAATACCTACGATGCATGAACACTTTGTTTAAATGACTCATTGGAGCGTCCGGATGAGATGTACTTGAACATTGAAAATAAGACCAACGGAATCATGTAAAGCAATGAACATATTCGGACAGCAAAACGTAGCTTTTTCGTCACCCATTCGACATTTGTGTTGGTATTTGCGTAGATCAAATTGACAGTTGGATCAAACATCCCTTTATTTAAAAGGTACACATGCGTGTTATTGTAGCTTTATATGAAAATTTTATAACACTTTTCACTGTTTTTTTGAAATCTGGTCATTTTGACTAATTTTACTTACTCTTTTGAATGATTGAGTCAAGTTCATCAAGGAGCGCCACATATTTTTCTCTTTGTAAAAGAAGAGCCAAATACCACGTTAGTACTATCAATGCAGAAAGCACACAAAATACACATTCCGAATGTTCTCTGGATGTTTGAGCCTCAAATACAAGATACCAAACTAATGCAAGGAATTGTGATATGTATGTGACGAGTAAAGTAAACCGTATAACTAAAGCAATCTTTTTGGCCTTGGGACTAGAGTACCAATAGAAGATGCCCAACTGACGAAGCTGCACTGTTAATTCTCTAAAATGTTTCATTTTAGTTTATGATTTGTGAGTCTTAAACTTTTATTTAAAAAAAAGTCCAACTTGAAATGCACGGTTTTCTAACAACTCCACTGTTTGACTGTGTGTCGCAAACTAAAATAGAAATCAACTCCGATCGTTACCATACTAAAACGACACAAGACATATACACCATGACTTAGAATTCATTTAGACTCCGTATATTAGCTACTTTTAATGAATTTCGATATTTTATCCATTTTTATGTGTTGGAAGTTGGACAAAAACTTCGGCATTATAATTCATCGTGGACACTCTCGCTTCTTCCAAATGAAAAAAGATATGGAAAACATACTTATTGATAGATGTACTAATAAAAAAGCGCTGTGACTAATGGTTATTGAAAACGGGATAATGTGTGGTATTACCCTACGTAATTTCCTTTCGAAACCGCGTTATCCATTTTTAATACGTCATAAAGTGGTTTAATGTTCCGCATTCCATGACAATGAAATCATAGATTCTGACACCAAAAATTTCAGGTAGGGTCAAACCAAAAATTCCTTCGGGAGTCAAAAAAATCAATTCTATCTAGTGTAGAATCATAAAATCATTCTTTTCAAATCAATTATGGGTCAAATAAATCGATTCTATCTAGTGTGACATGTTCCCTTCGGAACAAAAGTGAGGAGCAAAAAAGAGGTCCTCACTTTTTGAAAACAAAGTCGCAAAATGACAATAGGTCCAAAAAAAATCTTTGGGGGTCAAATTTCGCCAGCAGGGGTCAAGTTCAACGAGATCAGACTATGTCAGAATCTATGAATGAAATGATCAATTCAAATAGTATCATGGTGAATTGCGATGAATAAAATCAGATGAAAAACCTCTAGACGAGGTTGAAATGGAGTGACGCTCCGTGCGTGGATTTACCACTCAAAATGACTGAAGATTGAAAAGGTTGAGGATGAGGCGAATCAAGTTCCACGGAATGACTCTGACGAAAATCGAAAGCCACAAAGCAATGTTGAGAAGAACATTTCTAAATCGAAATCGAGTGGACCGGATGATGGTGCGGCTAAGAAAAGATCAGCCATAATTGGGAAAAGAAGCGCAGCTAATAGTTTTGGTAGCAAGAAGAACCCAGCTGAAGGTGTGACAAATCGAAAGCGACACAAGTGTTCATTGTGCGATTATGTCACCGACTTTACAACCGCTTTGAAAAGACACATGTTCAATCACACTAGCGAAAGACCATTTCCATGCAGCGTGTGCCCGAAACGATTCATCCAAAAACATTGCCTACAATCGCACATGAAAATACACGTCAATGAATTTATGTTCAGTTGTTCAAATTGTTCGCAAGGATTTCATCGCAGCGAGGAGAAAGTGGAACATGAATTCGGTTGCAAGATTCGTCGCTATGAGTGTCATCTGTGCACGGAATTCTCTACATCGATTAAGACGGATTTGAAACGTCATCTGCGTGTGCATACCGGCGAGAGACCATTCGAGTGCGACCAATGCTCAAAGAAATTCACTCTGGCAAATACTTTGAAATACCACCGCAAAACTCACACCAATCCTCGTCCATTGAAATTCAAGTGTTCATCTTGCTTCAAGAACTTCGCCCAAAAGAAGGAAAAAGAAAATCATGAAGCCAACTGCAAGCGACACGGATACCGATGTGATTTGTGCACGAGCTACACAACTGATCTGAAAGGAGATTTAATGAAGCACATGCGAGTCCATACTGGTGAAAAGCCTTTCCGATGTGAAACATGCTCGAAGTGCTACTCGCGAAAGTCAAATCTCAAGCAGCACAAGAAATCTCACAAGTAGCTGTCTGTTACCAAGGAATAACACTCGAAATGGATTAAATCGAAAGACAATTTCAAACCCAATTTTATGAGTAGCATACCAATTTGCCTTGAATGAAAACAAATATACTAAATCGTATGAAACAAAAAATCTGTTCTTCTTATTTCATCTGAAATGAAAATGAATAAATAATAAACTGGTTCATTATGAAACTGATCTAATTGATATATTCTTAGCTATTAACCGTTTGAGGGAAAACTTTGTAACTTGTCCAGAATTCTAACAATTCGTATTATAATTGGAACGGAAAAATCATTCTCACTGTACGAAATGGAACCCTTGTGCATTGCTTGAATCATTGATTGTGAACAAATTTATGATAATTCGATGTGGAAAAAACTAAAATATCGAATTGAATCGTAACGTATGATTAGAAAAGGTTTTAAGTTCCCTGGAACCCAGATCAAGGACATGTCAGTTAAGATTTGATAAAAAAAAGTCTGAAATTGGGCAAAGATTGGGCATTGGTTGATCGGTGTCATATTTTAGGATCGGTTTCAAAGACATTTTGGAAAATACAAAAAAAACACTGACATCAAGTATCCAGCCGGTAAATGTAAATGCAATCATCATTTCCTTCATGAAATCTTGATTTGTTTGCGGTTAAAGAAAGGTGACATTTATCAAAATGCAGTTTTACGCATGGCTTCAACTAATTTTTGATTAAAGAAAATTTTCCGGTTTAATATCACGGAGGACGATAGTCCGACAAGTGACGCTCCATAGACTGTGCATTTTAAGCCAAATATCAAAAATGCCAGTTTTTGCGTCACGAGTATATATACAGTAAGTATGCTATTTTCTCAGGGCACTATAGGGGTCCCCGCATGTTAGGTACCGTTGGAAAGGTCTTGGCCCAAATAGTCGGAAACACCATATCCCCCATGCCTAAAGTGTGGTCTAGGCAAAAATATAGCGGTTGGAAAATTTCGATAAATTTTCAAATCTATACCCATATCTTACGAAGAGAGTACCCAGAGGGTGGTCTGGACCTTTCCAACGCCGGTCTAAGTGCCCCGATTGGTCCAAAAACGAAAAAGTTATGGGCATTGGCAGTTTGATCTTGATTTTCTATGAAAGTATTGATTTGTGCGTCCGTCCGTCCGTGTGTCCGGAAACCAATCCGACCTATTTTTCGACCATGAAATGCCCTCAGATCGCATTGTGACCACTTTTCGCAATTCACAATCGATTGCTCGTCGAAATGACTGAAAGTACTTACGATGAGGTATACATTATTTTAAATGACTCATTGGAGTAACCGGATGAAACGTAGCTGAACATTGAAATCAAGACCGGAGGGACAATGCAAAGCAAAGAGCATATTCCGACAGCAATGCGTAGCTTCTTCGTCATGTGATGTTTGGGTTAGTTTTTGTGTAGATCGAATTGACAGTGGGATCAATCATTCCTGAAATTTAAAAGGTACACATTAATATTTAAGAGGCACACATGATATTAGGGTTTCATATTTTTTATTAAAAGTTTGAATGATTCCAAAAATGAGATAAAATAAATCAATTATTTTAACTTGCTTTTTTGAATGATTGAGTTAAGCTCATCAAGGAGAGTCCCATATTTTTCACTTTGAAAAAGAACATCCAAATACCATGTAAGTGTGTCAGTACACCAAGCACATAAAATACGCATTCCGAATGTTCTCTGGATGTTTTAGGCTCAATTATAAGATACGAAGCTGTTGCAAGAATATTTGACAAGTAAACCACATCGTTTAACTATAGCAATATTTTTGACCTTGAGACTAGAGCCCCAATGGAAGATACCCAACTGACGCAGTTGCACTGTTAATTCTGCGGAATATTTCATTTTTGTTTATGATTTAAGTGAGTCTTGAACTTTCATAGAAAATATTTAACTTGAAGTGTAAGGTCAATTGTTTCATGGTTTTCCATCAACTACTCGATTTAACTACGTATCGCTAACTAAAATAATGGATGTCACTAGTTTTGTGTTATGTTTTCGGCACGAGAATTGACTTTGATACAGTTATTGACATTTGATTGTAATGACTTTTGATATTTGACCATTTTTGTGTGTGGGAAGTTGGACAATGGTAATATTGATGATACACTTCGGCATTATAATTCATCGTGGACACTCTTGCTTCTTTCGAATGAAAAAAGTATATTTTTTTTTATAGATGTAGGCACTAATAATAATGAAAAGGCGTTAAATTTAATAGTTTTTGAAAACGGGATAGTGTGTCGTATTTCCTTTCGAAACTACGTTATTCATTTTTAATAGATTACAAAGTGGTTTAATGTTCCGCACTGTTCGCATTCAATGGCAATTAAATGCTCAATTCAAAAAGTATTATGATTACTTGCGATGAATAAAATATATTGAAAAACAAACAAACAGTGGTATTAGCAAAAAGTGAAATAAAACATAAATGTATCGATTTATTTGAGTTGAATTTGTTTTGACTCAAAGCTATCGAGATAGCAAAATTTTTGTATGAACCGACAAAATGAAGTCAAGTCTCTTGGAAAACAAAATCAAATCAAAAACAAATTATTATTCAAATCAAAGTTGAAAGTCAACGCGTCGGATGTCGGATTAAAACAAAATTTATGTAATGATGAAGACCATTTAAAATTCAAATATTATGGCATTTCCATCCAAAATTGGCCCATATTGTAATTAATGTCCAAATTCAAACCGGTTCCGCTTTTCTCTTCCGATCCGTGTTATTAACGATGTTCTGATTGATGTTGCATTTTTGTTGAAATTGACGGCGATTAAAGCATAAAAACATTTCAATTAGTCGATTCGTTAGTAAAAACAATGCTAATCATTGAACAGCAGCGGTTGAGCAAGTAATAAAAAAATATACACATCGCGACACAAGCGGCCAACAAAATCGAAAACAAAACAATGAAACGAAAAAAAATGGTATAATAACTTTCACTCGGCGAGTCGTTACATGCCATCAAGTCTTGAGGTTGTGTTCGTCATGAGGTGCGATGTTGTAATCGATTTCGTGTTTGCGGTTTTTTTGTTAGATCGAGCGAGAGAGCCAGAGAGCGATGGAGCGAAAATAAAACATACGATAGAGCCGCCGCCAAATAAGTTGATGAATAATTCATATGCAAACAGTCGATGCAATAATCGTATTATCTGTTCCATGATTCGATTCTTCGGTAAATCGATGACGAACGAAAAAAAAACCAAACGATGTAGAAATAGAAATAATGGTCTGTATTAAAGCCGATGATCTTTTGGAATTTTTGCAAGGTAACATGTCGCAACGGCTGTATTTCCCATTGAGTTTACGGACGTGGGCTCGTTGCCTAGATCGACATAAACAGTGAAAAGTGCATTGAATGAAATCTTAAAACGATGGACTGCAATGAAGTCTGAAAATGATGGACAACAACCATTGAAATACCACCCACAATGACACAGTTTTGCATGGCACACGCTCAATTCATATCGAATAATCTGCCGAAGAGTGGAACATTGTCGTCGCTTTTCACCTCTGCAATTTTTTAAACTACTCTTTTGGAGCAATTCAACCAATTCAAGACATGACTCATGGGAATATTAAAAAAAACGTTTACGATGCGAACAAGAGAGAAAGAGAGAGAAAGAAAGAGAAAGAGAGAGAGAGAGAGAGAGAGAGAGAGAGCACACAAGATGAAGACAAAACCAAACAAAACTGAGATGTTAACCAACCGACGGTCGAATCAGAAAGTAAACTTAAATTCACTTTCATTAGTGATTCAGTTACGGTATCCGCTGCACGTTTCCACGGTTTCACAGCAGTTGTAGAAGTACGTAGTCGTAGCCAGTTGTGTACAGTTTTGTGTGCTCGAACGGAAATTTTGCAGAGAAGATTCAGATCTTTTCAGTTCGTTCACATCGTACATTTTGATCTCATTGGGTTTCTACTGACTTTTCTCTTTTCGGAATTATTTCAACGAACTTTTTTTTTCGTTTATTTTTTTTCAACTGAAAACAATTTAGTTGTGGTTTTGTAGCGCTCCAAAAATACTGTTTACAAATAAAGTAGCTTAGATTCATTCAAAGTGTTGAAGTTCGATTGACGCTTCACTCAAGTTCAAGAGTAGTTCGTTTCTGAAAATAAAGTAATTTTTTGTAGAAAATATCAAAAATATTTTTTCCAAACTCTTCTGCGAAAATGTGATCCGGTTTTAAATCCATACAAATAATTCGTAATTTTTGTTACAATATTTATTAAAGTGATTTACTTCTTTTTCTTCATTTAGTTGCGAAAAAAAAACAGAAAGTTGTGCCAATGTAAATATTTGAAATCGAATTGACGGCGCGAATTGCATGGAACTCAGGAACAAAATGTATAATTTGAAAGTGTTGTGGGTGATTGCACTATTCAACTGGAATGTGCTTGGAACGAATGTGAACCGAAGAGAGAAACCGAAAACCGAAGGGTAACCATTGTTTGTTTCAAAATAGTGATTTTTTTTATTTGATCATTGAAGACTTCAAATTGAAGTGAATTTTAATTTTTTTTTTCAAATGAAGTTTTTCTTTTTACTGCCCTGCTAATGAAAAGAGATGATATTGAAAGAAGAAAAAAATTAAAAAAATAATGAAAAAAAGACCAAGAAGTGCAGCGTTATTTCATTTTTTCAAGACTTATTATGTTTCATTGCGGATGAATTTCATTCTATGGGTCTACGGACTCAAAATATGAGTTTGGCTTCTCACGGAATTTCACTCCAGACTTCGAACACTCTCAGATTTGAAGTCAAATGATAATTTTACTGCAGTAAAATACAGAGAAACCACATTCCAAACTTATCGAATGGAAAAAATGTCTGCAACTAGAATTTATTAGCCTTAATGGTCAATGGCTATTATTCATTGATCATTAATCATTACGTTTTATTTTGTGCGAATGATCGCTAGGCTGATTGAAATGCACAATAAATTCAATTTGGGGAAATTCCCACTTTAATTTCCTTCAAAAAGGCCTTTAACATAAAATCATGTTTTGAAACAATCGAAAAGTTAAATTTTCCAAAAAAAATACATTGCAAAACATTTCGTTTTAAATCCGCTGGTCTTTATAGTTATTTCAAATTATTTTTACTCATTTGGAAAGTCTTCTTTAGACGATCAAACCCATGAATGGTTTACAGATTGTTTCCAATTTTTTGAATCGTACAAAATTTTGTGAAAGTTTTTTTTGTCATTTTAATAAATAAACAAATGAATAATGAAAGTAATATCAATCGGGCACGTATGAAGATGAGTTCATTCCGATTAATGAAAAATGAATAAACAAATTTTTTGTGTGTTTATAACCATGAAGCTTATAGAGCATTCCATAATTCATCACAATTTTATTCACTTCCTTCCGTACAGTCGTCAGTTGCAAAGTTTCTTTCCGCAACAAGAATCTGCAAGTCCAAATTTCCAACCATCGCCATCGGACGTCTACTTCATTGATGGTAGTAATCAGGTGCAAGACTCAAGACCGAAGCAACAACAGCAGGAACAACAAACATACAAGCCCAATCCGAAATTTTCGCCAAATTTGCAAAATGACTTGTACACTTCGCAATATGGAGCTCAACAGCAGCAACAATTATTGCAGCAGCAGCAGCAGCAGCAGGAACAGCAGCAACAACAACAATATCAGCAACAGTTACAATTGCAACAGCAGCATTATCAGTATGCCCAACAATCCCAGTCGCAGCCAGAAAGACCATTTTACCCGACACCAGACGGTAATGAAGTAAATTTTGGCGAACAGCAATACAGCCCGCAGTCGCAGCAATACGTTGATAACAGCAATTTCATTTACACTGAACCGCCGCAATATCAATCCCAATCGCCATATGATCAGGGATACTCACAGATTGTAACAGGAAATTATGCGGTGGGAAATCGGCCACAAGTGAGCATTCTGCCGCAACAAAGGCCAAGTTTTTCGTTGTACAACCCAAATCAACAGCATCAATACGGTGGCAGTTCTAGACCGGTTTATCAATCACAGCAAAATTACAATTTGCGACCACCGCAAAGCGGTCAATATGGTGGTGGAAATGAAGGCGGCATTGCGGAATCAATTTCCAACTTCTTCACAAACATTGGTCAAGGAGCTTCAGAATTATTTTCAGGTCGACCGCCAGTAAACCAATATCAGCCACCTCCAAGTGTAAGCGCTGGCCTAGCAAACAGACCACCGCATCCGTACAATCAACAACAATATGAAACAGGAGGTCCACAGTTTGGATCGGGAGGCCCACAATTTGGACAGGGAAGCCCACAATTTGGATCGGGCAATGGTGGATCACCATTTGGAGGAGGTGGCCCAACCAATCCATTGAATCAATTCTCAAAGGCAATTGAGGAAATTACTCGAAATGACGACTATCAATGCATACCGAAAGTGATTTGCCAAATGGTCGGAAGCCAACGGAGGCAACCGTCCATTTTGAGCTCACCGATTTTCACAGCGTGAGTGCTTTTTTTCAATTTCATTAAAAACATGTTTGTCCTCAGCGAACTTCGCTTTCAATTGGATAGTCTTGTTTCAATGTTTTCAATCATGTTTTTCAGAATAATATCGGCTGTGCCTTCGAACTCAGCAGGATTGGTTTATGGTCGTGCCGCATTGCTTGGATTGATTTCCGGTGAACATAATTGTCACACAGCGTATCCAAGATGCCCTCGAAACGAAGACGAATTGCTCCATTACTTGAACAACCATCGTGGTGGATTTTTCCGTTTCTTCAACGGCGGAGCAGCCTTTGGTGATGAACAAAACAATCAATACAATCCAAATCAATATCAAAGTCCGGCTGCTTCAAATCAATACTATCATCAAACCCATCAAAATCAACCTCAACCTCAAGGCCAACCCTCGGACGATGGTTCGGTACAATCAAATCTTGCTGCTCTTCAGAATATTGCCGAAGCCATCAACAGTGGTGGCGGAATCAATTTGAGTAACCTAGGAGCGAATGCAAATCTATTCAGTGGCTTGGCTGGCCTATTAAATGGAGGTGGGTCAGGTTCGAGCTCAGGAGGTGGCTCCGGCTTTGATTTAAGTTCATTGGGCACAAATGCTGGTTTGTTAAGTAATTTTGCCACTTTAGTCAGTGGCACAAATCAAGCAACAAAACCGTCGAAAGCACCGCCCGATGATCAAGGTCAAAGTTTAACCGAATTGGTTGGCAATTTGCTCACCGGTTTCGTTGGCCAACGTTTTGCCGGACGTAAAATCAATAAAAGAAGCATTCAAGTTGAATATGATGACGGTCAAAATTCGACGGAGATCGATGATTTCCATGGTTATGATAGGAAATTACCGAAGAAAGTGAGTGCGTTCAAACTGAAATTGGCTGCTTCAAGAGAGAAATTGAAATTTCCAGAAGAGACATTTCCGCAAGATAAACTAAAATTCTCTGAAGAGTATGAGGATGACACCCAGATTGAAAGCGATGATGACGCTGAACAAGAAGATGGTGTCGAAGGCAGAATATTAAACAAAAAACCGAACATTTATTCAGACGACGACGATCGATATGAACAAAAGTTTGTGTTCAATTCGAATCGTGGCCAAAAAAATGTTCCATTTATGGACAGAATCATTGGACCGACTCCAGTGAAGAATTTCGTAAGCAATTTACAGGTGCATTTTGGTGATAATACCAAAAATGATGAATTTCGAATTGCATCAAACCATCGATCACCCAAATTGGTCAAATTTCAAGGCAACGCTGAACAAACTGACGAAAATCGATATCAACAACAAACGGGTCAAGGATCAGTGAGGTTTGACAACCATCAATCGGGACAAAACTCATTCAGATTCGATCATCATCAAACGGGTCAAGAGCCCGTAAGATTTAATGACGACTACGACGCTGCTACACATCGACCATCGAAGATGATATTCCCCGATCGAACCGGAACGGGTAATTTACGATTCGATCGCGATGAATATGTCAACAAATATTCGAATCGATATGGCAAAATTCTTAACTATGGAAACAATCGTCCACAAAACAGCAACAACGAAAATCGTGTAACATTTGGTCAAACTGATCGCTATACCGCTGACACACAACAAAATTATCGTCCATCATTTAGCAATAATTATCATCAAAACTCTAATTATTATCAACAAAATCCGAGCTCAAATTATCAAAACAATCAAAATTACCCGTCATACAATCGATACACCAGTTCGAGTCTAAATAGGCAGAGTGACGATAATTCTAGTCAGAATGTTTATGTAACAAATGGAGAGGGTAAAACTGTGTATTACATCAATGCAGCTGGCAAAAAGGTTTATGTGTAAATCGATAAAAATGGGGTTCTCCCGTCCGTAGAATAAAAGCGAAAATTGTGATTATTTGTTTCCTAGTTTGTAACCGTATATACATTTCCATATCGATTTCACTCATTTTCACATATTTGTAATTTTAATTATTTTTTTTTTTTTTTGATTTTTTTCTATTAAAATGTTTATTTATCACAATAAACATGCGTTTTCATTTTTTTTTTGTATTGAAATCATTTTAATTTTAAATTGATCAATGAAAAGGGATGTGAAGCGTGAAATAAAAAGCGTATTGAATGCAAATCGGACGCGAAATGGAGAGTCGGAGGACACGAGGAAAAAGAAATAGTGCAATTTTGTCGGTAGAAAAATATCAATCGGTAATATAATTAAATGGATTCCCATTGTGAAAGCCCTATACACTCAGCCTTTGCATTGTCGCTTGGTTATGCAGTCAACTGAAACAAATTTTGTGCGCACCGAGAGTATAATCCGATGATTTTGTCGATGCTTATTTTGGCAGAAAAATAATAACGCACATCGTCAAAAGCGAAACAGCGTCCATGGGTTGTGTTTTTTTTCCAGTTCAACACAATGGTTTTTGTGGTTACAGGTGTCAATTCACATTTTATTCAAAATAATAAATGAAACAAGCCGCACCTTTTGATATGATCCCTTTGATATATTCACGCTTCTGTTGTTCGCTGCATTCAATCATTTCTGGCCGTGATCGAATTTGTTACTTTGATCCGTCAAAGCGTGAAAATACATACAAACGAAACCCATTACGGCAAGTGCATGGCACAGACATTTCGAACCATTGTGCAAATGGTTTTCATGCAAATACACCGCGCACATAATAATGCATGCGATTCTTAACCAATACAAGTGGCTAAATAATAATGAAGAGGGTTGGATGAAATGCAGATGAGCCGAAGATTATGCATATTTAAAAAAAAAATGAATACACAAACGAATATTACCGCAATCATAGTCAAAATTGATAGTAAAGTATACGCCCAAAACAAGTGGCTCGGTGTTTATTGAGACAATAAGCCAGCTAAATGAATGGAACCCAATTTTTGTGATATAACTAACTGTGCTCGAAAGAAGATTATCATTTTTTTATGTGTGTTTGTGTGTGCTCGAAATGTCGTATCTTTTTTTGTTTATTTATGTTGATGCGAATGAAAATACTTAATAAAAAATACGCTCGTTGCCTTCCAACAATTAGCCCAATATTATTTCAACAGAAAAACTCGCACCGTTTCATCTCAGTTTTTGAAGCGAATATTTCCAGCAAAAATAACACACAACAATTTATCGGTGTTATTGTTTCCGCGCTATTAGACAAAAAGTGGAGATTAAAAGACACACTTCCATGTCCTTATGCGCTTTTTTATCCTTTTATTTTTTGGTACATTTACAAAATAAACACGAAAATGACTCGAATAAACACCGCTCGATTTGTATGAAATCCGACAAAAAATGGCACATTCGATGCAATACGATAAACACGCTCTAATACACGCTCTTTTGCTTTCCAATATTTAGCGGAAATATTCGATCGTGTTTATTGCGGCAAAACACATCAGAGTGTGGGAGAAAGAGACAGAGAGTTTGCCTATGTATGAATGAGAGCGACAGAGTGAGTGATTGAAAGAGCGAAAGAGAGAGATTGAAGGAGTGAAAAGGCGGGAGGGAGAGAGAGAGAGAGAGAGAGAGAGAGAGAGAGAGAGAGAGAATGAGTGAGTGTGTGTGAGAGAGATTATTCTGAGTCCCGATTTTTTTGCGTCCTAATGAACACATTAACGTTTTTTGGATTTATGTTTTTGTTTCGACTTTCATCCTCTTTTGTGCAGCGAAAATAAAGCCAACAAAAAGTAAATAAACAAAGCAAAACCTGCCGTCACAAATGAATCTAATTGATAAAAAGTGGGTTCAAAGCAAAACGCAAATTGGGACACTAATAAAAAATAATAATAATCAAAATAATGCGATTGTCAGCGATAGACAGTGAGTGTAAAAACAGGGGTGCCATTCTTCGGCTAATCTCTATTTCGTTTAGCTCTTATTCGCTTCGGGTGTGTGTGTATTAGTGGGGTCCTACTCTCTTCATATATCACCTCATTCTTCGTTTTCCTATACTAGTATTCGTATGCTCTAATCTCTCACCCGTCCATATGTTACTCTGTTTGTCTTTGTATCATTTTGTGTCTATTGTACTCTTCGATATTTGTCCCATATTGTATACAATTTTCGATAAAATTATTTGTCATTGGAGATTTGTGCAATTATTTGTTAGGGTACTATTTTCAAGGAGTCAAAATGTATGCTTTGGAAATAATTACTTCGAATTAGATTCATTCTGGATGTTTTCTATAAATTTATCTATGAACATTGACCATTTTTTTTGAAAATCGTGTAAATTTGACGTAATATGCGAATTTTTACCTATAAAATGCAGATTTTATCTCATTTTTTTTAAACTATCCCAGAATTCCAATTTTAATCAGAATTCACAGATTTTTCTGTAAAACAAAAACACAAAATGAAATTTATGATGCAGAAATTGAAAAAAGTTCTTCTCCTCATTCCGTTGACGGTAAATCATTATGGTTTCACTTTTTATCAAATGTTTTTCGTTATAAAAGAGAGACAAAAAAACATAAATTTTCAAAGATTCTGGCAAGCCAAGTTGTTAATGTTGAAATATGAATATGCGGTTCGTCTTCAAACTTGATTCATCATGGTCAAAGCTATAAACTGCTTAAGAAGAAACGTTTTCGCACGAGAATTGCATTGAAGAGAGTCAAGCAATAAAAATTTATTGTGAATTCAGCACGACATTTGAAGAAAAAGTTGTTTGATGATACGCATACAGTAGATACAGACGCAGACACAGATACTGGCGTCAGAAACAGCGGTAAAAATTTAGAACAAAATGGATACAAACAATTTGTGGTCATTCATTAAATTTTTCTTTGTTTAAATTTCTGTAACGTCTTTGTTGGCTGAGAAGAACTGGAGACATTAGGTGAGATCTAATCGCCACTTAAATGTACTTAGCCAAATTTTATTGGCCTAGATCACGTATTCGTATTCGCAAACAGGTTTGTTCTCAGTCACATTAGCAAAATATCAACGCCGTTGTTTCTACGGTAGGAGAGCAACTCATTATGCTACAGATAAAATTGATAAGATGCTAGCAACTCTCCCTTCTCTGAACCACCCATCGGTGTAGAACGTATAAATACGTGCTACGAATCGAACTCGTCATTCATTCTGATCTTTTCAATCTTTATCAAAGTTTCTGAAAATGGTTCGTTTACAGTTTTTACTATTGTTCTATTGTGTGTTGTGAAATATCGTTTCATTTCCCTTTAAATTCACTTTTAAGTCCATATTCTGATTCACTTTCAATGTTTTTGTGTTTTTTTTTTCTTATTTTAGAGAAACTTTGTGATTTTGGCGATTTTTATCGCTGCCGCATCAGCGGATAAAATTTATTGCCCACCTGGTAGCGCCGGAGAATATCCAAATTGTATTTGCAAAGACGAATTCCCATACGATCAAGTCAACAATGTTTGTTCGACCGAAGTTAATGTGTTTCAAGTTTGCCCAAAAGGTACATACTCAGATTGCAGTGACATTAAATTTCAAATTGAATTTCTTGTGTTGAATTGACCAATTTCCGTTTATTTATTATGTTCAGATAAAATCGTTTTACTTGGAACATTTTGAATTAACACTTTTTATTGAAAAAAAAAAATTAAAATAATTTTGTTAACATCTTACGCATTCGCACACAGGCATTGAAGGTACATTCCCAAATTGTGTTTGTAAAAATGGTTTAGTGTTTGTTCCAAAAACTGGTGAGTGTGTTATCGTTGACAAGAGCACTTGTCCAATTGGATCATCGAAAGTGAACAACAAGTGCGTTTGTGAACATAAGAATGGCTTTAAATACGAATTCGATGAAATCTTCTGGATTTGCCGACCATGGTACATTCCAACAACAACACCAGCACCATGCCCACCACAACATCACTGGGTTGGAAAAAAATGCGAATGGGATCGATGCCCAGCTGGATACTCATCCAAAACAGGTGAGATAGTCACAGTAATTGTGAAATAGGTGCTTTAGAAAGTTTTGATCAGGAAATTTAATGTTTGTTCAAAAGATCAATCAAAAGATCAATTAAAAGTTGCATCAAATCGAAATATTTGGAAGGAGATGACATTTGAATGGAAATATTTGAATGAAGACATTTCCGCTCGACATTTCAATAAAATTTATTGCCGTTTTTTCTCAAAGAGAAGTAAGAAAACCGCACATTTTTCACGCTTGTGATCATCATTGACGAATCATCATTGATGATTGAAAGGAAGTCGGAAGAAGAAGTAGAGAGCAGACAGCAGCAAATTTTAATCGAATGAAATTTTAATTTAATTTTATTGAAAATTTTTATTTGCATTCGTAAAGGTTACTGGCCAGATTGTGTTGCACCTCCAACATGCCACACAAAGGGACTGATCGGACAATACCCCGATTGCTATCCAGCTCCACAGACTTGTAGCTACCATCAAACTGGCAAATACCCAGACTGTCATTGGTTGCCATGCCCAGCATCATACAAATCAAAGACTGGCTACTGGCCCGACTGTGTTGCACCACCATCATGCAGCGACCAAGGATTGGTCGGAATTTATCCAGATTGTCATAAACTTCCTCCAACATGCCCACCACATCGTATGTTTAAAACAATTGCATTTCACAGTGGAAATTTCATTACAAAAGCCTGTGAACAACTGGAATCAACTAAATAATATATTTCATTTTAGACCACCGTAACGCAAACGGAGAATGTGTACGAGTCCCATGTCCACCTGGTTTAGAAGGTGACTACCAACCAAACTGCAAACTTGTTCCAAAATGCCCACCAGAATATCCAGGTTCGTATCTGATTCATTGAAGTGTATTCAAAATTGTCATTCATTCATTGTCGTGTGACAAAATGAGTTTTTTTTGTGATTTTTCGCGCTTCACGTTGAAATTTATAATTTCAAACGGAAGTCACATTCACAAAAATGTGAAGCCCTATTGTTATAGTCTAGCTCTCTAATAATAGAATTCGTTTCTCA